ATGTTACTCATACATATGAAATAAAGTTCTTAATGCTTGTCATGCAGAGATAAGACACATCTTGCTCTATAAACAAAAGCAAATGTGAAGGCACCTGTATTGGGCCCACAATTATCTTGGCTGGTTAAAACCACTGGATAAGATTAGTGGGAGAAATTGTGACTGCTTCTCTGTGAGCAAATATTTGTGATTCCCTCTCTCATCAGGGATGATTTTTCTCAGCTATAGAAATGTCACCTTTTCTGGTTTAGGTAAATAATTAAGGAGTATGCAACAAAGGTTTGGAAACCTCGTGTTTTCCTGACTATGGATAACCTGTTTTGGTTTATGGCTATCTCCTATACTGCTGATCCTCTAGGTGCCCAGTTTTAATGGACACGCTGAGCAGGGTCACACACCCCCACACTCCATACATGCAGTTCAGTGCCTGGTAGAGAGTTATTTTTCAAAGGAGAGGACTTTCAGGCAGTGGTTCCCTCTCTCTTTTGGGACAGTTTTCCCCAGCTATGGAAATGCCATCTTTTCTGTTTTCAGTAAAAAACAAAATTGCAGACATGCTGCCTTCAGGATACACTTGTCACCTTTCCTGTTTTCCAACAGTACTAGTCCAAGGACCAGATATTGCTCATCATGGCCTGACATGTTCTCTCCCTCTAACACTGTTGCTAGCAGATGAAAAATGTAATTCACCTTCATTAGTAACTTCAGGGGACCCAGCCCCAGGGTCAACTTCAGACTTCTTTCTTGAGTTTGAACCATTTGAAAGAGATCACTTGTGGACAATGTGTTAATTATAATGCCTGTTGTTGTACACATTGTTACACTTGGGCAGCGTCTGGGCTTGGATACTCAAAACTTATCATAGAACCATAGAATTGTAAAGGTTCTCTGAGATCATAGAGTCCAACCATTAACCTAGCACCACCATCTTCATCACTAAACCATGACCTCAAGTGCCACATCCACAGGGCTTTTGAACACTTCCAGGGATAGTGACTCTGCCCCTTCCCTGGGCAGCCCATTCCAGGGCTAAACAATCCTTTCAGTGAAGAAATTTTTTCCTCATGCCAATCTAAACCTCTCCTGGTGATTTCCTCTTGTCCTGTTACTTGCTACTTGGGAGAGGAGACTGACCCCCACCTGGATACAGACTCCTTTCTGGTAGCTGTGAAAAGTGATAAGATCTTCTCTGAGCCTTCTTTTCTCTCGCTAAATATTCCCAGGTTTCTCAGCTGCTCCTCATAACAATTGTGCTCCAGACCCTTGTGACAAACAGACAGCAAAAGCCCATGGTCTGACATGATTCCTTTCAGAAACAGGCCAGCTTTGGCCAGAGGCAGGGCAAGAGAACCTGCCTCAGAAAGCTGCAGGCAACATGGAAGTGCAGGTCCCTGGATCACACAAAATGAAATACCCACATATGAGGCTTGGCTATCTCAAGGGGGACCATATCTGCTGCATATAAATGCAGAAAACAAGGGCACCCTCACACTGATGGCATAGCCACCAAGATGCAGCATTTCTACCCCTTCTTTTTTATCATGTGTAGCTACAGAGCCACAAGGAAGGTACTGACAAGCAGTCAAGGAATTCAGCTGCTGGTTTGCTATAGAGGACTTGGGAGCTGGAGGGCGAAAGTGATGCATGGAAATTAAGTTAATTTTAAACCGCAGGCAAGAGAAGAGACTTGCTAGCAGTTACTTAAGAGAAGCTGCTGACTGTTTAAATACCATTAAGAAGATTAATGTCAGCCCACAGAACCACTGAAAAATTAGGGCTGAAAGGGACCTTGAAAGGTCAGACCAGTCCATTCCACTAACCCAAGCAGGATCACCTAAACCTCGGACATGCCTGACAGATGTTGCTTAACTTGATCTTAAAGCTCTCCACTCCCTAGGCAGTCTATTCTTTATTATCCCTGTCATTAGAAAGTTTTTCCTAACATCTAAATTGAGCCTTTCCTGCTGTGACTTAAGCCTTCTTTTTTCTTTTTTTTTTTCTCTCCCCTTCTCCATCACAGACAAGGAGCAATGATTATGCCTTTTTATGTGTTTAAAGACTTCAGTTCTCTCCTCCTTTGGGTTAGAGAATTTTTGTTCTTTCAGGCTTCCCTGGTAGGTAATGGGTTCTCCATTTCCGCTTACTCCCTGCTCTCTGCTGGGCTGGATCCAATTATTCCACATCTCCCCTTAACTTATTTTCCATCCCCTCAACACCATGACATAGCTGACTTACATTCAGCTTTTGATCCTTTTCCTGAAGAATTGCTGCTTAACCCATCACTCCCTCCTCTGTACTCTGGGAGTTCATATTATTGCTCAAGTGTACAACTTTCCACTTCTCCTTGTTCAACTGCCTTCTGTTTCTTCCAGACCATTTCTGCAATTTGCCCACACAGTTTTAAACTCTAATCCTGCTCAACACTACCTCTACAGTTTTATTTCATGTGTAAAATGGAAGCCTTTATGTTTATCCTTTATAACAAAACATAACCAAATAATTAAGCCAAACTGAACCAGATGTAGGGTGAAACCCCTCTCAAAGCCAGCTTTAACTTGGACAAGAAAGTGCAGGCAGCAGTGCCCTGGGTGAGCTTATTCAAGCAGGTTTGTACCAAGTGACCTCAGCCACTCCGCATAAGGCTTCCCCTCCAGATGTTCCACCATCCTCCTTTGGAAATGTTCAAGGCCAGACTGGATAGGGCTTGGAGCAACCTGATCGAGTAGACGGTGCCCTGTCCATGGCAGAGGGTTGGAATGAGATGTTCTTTAAGGTCCCTTCCAACCCAAGCGATTCTGTGATTCTAATAGAGCATGTTTCCCCAGCTGGCTTCAAACAGCAAACACCAAACTACTCTGAGAGCCACACAAAGTTACTGCAGTCAGGCTCTCCCACCTCTCCCCTGCACCTAAAACCTCCTTTTTGTGGTGCTGTGTCTCTGTCCCAGCTGCCTTTGACCCGCACACCCTCACCTTCCCCACTGCTGTCACCCAGGCCCTGTGTGCCAGTAGGACCTTCCCCGGCTTGGGAAAGTGCCATGGGAAGGACAAAATTAAGTAAAAATAAATGAGGACGGTAAAACCGGTGTTATTTTAGAGGTAAATCCCTGTTATTTTTGAGGCAGCCCTATTTTGCCGCCCCGGCCCCGGGCGGCGCGGCCCGCGGCTGCCCCCTGGCGGACGGGAGGTGTCCCGGCTCACATGGGCCCCGATGTCACCCGGGCACGGGGACAGAGGTGCCACTGCCACTGTCCCGCGGCCACTGCAACCGCTGGCGTTGAGAGGAATGATGGGAACAGGGGCTATCCCATCAGCGTGCTAGATCAGGAAAGGTCAGGCTGCTCGTTAGCAGAAACTCCCCCACTCCCTTTGTCTGTCTGTTCTGCCAGTGAGGGCATTTAATCACCCCTGTCACTGTCACAAAGTAGGGAAAGGCAGTGAACCAAGGCCGTGTGACCCCACAACAGATGTGCAAGAGACAGAACCAAGAACTACCTTTGCTCCACAGGTGAACTCAAGTTTACCTTAATGCCATATGGACACCTTCTCTCCCTGCTGCACCCAGGCTCTGAGCAGCATTTTGGCCTTCCACATTACTCAAAGCAGGCTGATCTCAGCTCATTTCTGGTCTCTCTAAACTACCCCACTCAGCAAGCATCTCTGAGCACCTCATGCCCCTGGCCCCACACCGTGCCCATCGTGCCAGCAAGCGCACCTGTGGCTTGGCTGCCATTCCCTGCAGCCTGCAGGGAGCTCACCTGATAAGGATAAGCCTGATAAGGATGTGCCTCCCAGCAGCACCAGCCATTGGCACCTACAGGAGGGGACCTGGGCAGGCAGGCTGAACCCCTCCTAATTGAATGAAGGAAGAGGAACACTTGAGCTTGCTCCAAAAGGAAGCTCAAGCTCCAGCTTCCCCACATTCATTTACTTGCAGAGCTTGCCTAAACCTGCAAGGAGGCATCAGCTTACAGACAGGCAGTTGGAAGGAAGCAGAGTCAGGCCAGTGCAAGTCAGCTGGAGGTATTGACCCTTCTGGCAGTTTGGATGCAAATTTTGGGCTCAGCTTAAACATGTCTTTCTTCCCTTCTCCTCTATCTAGAACTGGCCCTTCCCAGCCATTATTTTCTTCAGCATGACTCATTCCAGCTACAATCCGTTCAACACTGACTACCCAGGCCCTGCAAAACTCACCAAGGTAAACTCCATCAGGCCCTTCCATACAGGCAATTCCTGGGGATAAATAAATCTACTATGCAGTCTCTCATGTTTTGTTTTAAACACACACAAAAATCCATGGAATATTGCAATAGTCCAGTTTATTCCAGGGCAAAGGCTTAAGGCCAAGACAATGAACAAGAATCTCTCAAGAACAACTCTCTGCCCTTCAGGCGATGACAGCATTGAAAGGTATTTCTGTGAGATGCACAGAAAGGTCTGGTGCCAAAACACAATAATGCACAGAAAAAAAAATCAAAACAAGCTTCCTGATGCAAGAGCAGCTATCACTGTCATTTTACATGCACCAAAGCTATGAGCTTTAAGTGCTATGAGTAGTAAGGAAGGAGTGTATGCAAAATGCAGGGTGAAGTAATCATATTAACTGAGAGCTCCAATTTACAAGCCTCTCACACATGGGGTTTTTTGGTAAAAGTTTCCCTGTGCTCAGTACACTGGATGAGGTCTGCTCAGCAATGAATGCAAAAAGTGCCACAGAACAATGACAGCTGCAGGTGCAAAGAAGGAAATGCTAGAAGCATGATAATGCTTCAACATTTATTTTCCCCAAGACACAGAAAGAATTACAACATTTCTAAAGCTTTGTGGGTTTTAGAATACTTCACAATACAGAAATGCTAACTGTGCTTCCTGCTTAGACTAACCAGCAGGGAGGTCTTTCATTCAGTCCTTTATGTCAGTAGGTGCATAAAGCTGTTTCATTTATTTCAGGTACGTAAGGAGAGACAGGAGAAATGTAGTGTAGAATCATTCCAGTTTGGTTCAAGCCCAGGAAAATCTCCTGAGAGGGATGCTGCGCTGTTGACTAGAAGTCACATTCAAGAGGTATTGCTCACACCATGTACAGATGTCTGCAGTCAGCCAGTTTGCCATGGTCCTTGTGTAACAGCACAGGGGCTGTGCCAGGCCACGAGGCTCCAAAACAACAGGTACACTGGAGGGGCAGAGAAAAACAAAAGCAGGAAAGCTGACCCAGATTTCTGTTAGAGGGCATGGTGCTCTTCCATCCTTCTCCCAGGCTGCTAAGTGATTTAGCCAAATGCATAGGTTCAAAAGAGCCATCAGCACCACTTAGGAAAGCTAAAAAGCACCAGAACAGCTGACAGCTTCTCTCTATGGACAGTGTATCAGCCAAAGGGCTAATGGATATCTGTGTCTGGTCCAAGGTTATGGCTGCATCCTTATGCAGTAGAATTTATTTTTGCCATCTTGCAGTGTGACAGTAATGCAGTCTTAGGCCTCTTTTGCAGCACTTGCATTACAACACAGACCAAACCACTGCCTGCCCCCTGCAGTTAACTTCAGTAATGAATACTACTCCTGATTTTTGACAACTGAAGCATCAGCCTTAGAACCAGAAACAATTGTGTCTTTATTCTGGCTACATTAAAGAATGGTTTCACAGGAAGAAAAAGAAGGTACCAGTTTGCCCAATAGAAGATTTAACTGCTTTGGAAAGAAGAAAACATAAATGTTCTCAGTCCCGTATATTGCACTTATATGCATGTTGTCTTTATCATCCAGAACTGTCAAGAACTTATTGAAATAATTAATTTTCAGGGGACAAAAAGGAAAGGGTCTGTATATACATGGAGGAACTGAAAAACCATTTGTGGCATCATGGTTCAGTCAGTTACACCTGAGCCACACTTAGAGTATTTCACGTCTAGGTAGAAAGGGGCTAATTCTGGGTTGTAGCAACAGACCTTCAGCTGTGGGGGCTAGAACATGATGGGATCTGGAAATTCTCATACTATGAAGCTATTGCAAGGAACCTTTTATGTCTGGGCATAAAACACTTCTTGATACTTCTAAATCCATGTCACAAACCTGATAGTTAAAAGAGAAAATGCATTTCAGAGCACCTACACTTCCTCCCTTTGCGTCATCTAAAATAAACACCACTTCCAGAGAACTGTGGACTTGTTAGACCAGTGGCTAAAACCAGCCATTCAACAGAGCATTCTGCTGACCAGCCCAATATTACATACTGCTGTCTGCATGTTTGCAGTTTTGTATAAGTAAATGGTGACATCTTTCAAGGTAAAAATACAACAACCCTGCCCCAGCTTACCCAAAATACTGCTGCTGCTCTATTTCATGTAGCAACTTGGAGCTCTTCTGTTCCTGAGTAGCTGGATCCTCCTCTCCAGACAGTCTCAAAAATTTTAGGAAATGAAGTGGGAGATGTACACATGTTCTGAAGGGCATGGACATCTAGAATCACAACACAAGTCACCTGAGTTCTCAGGGAAACACATCCTCCTTCTTATCAGGACAATTTGCATGCCATGCAATTGATTTATTGGAGCACTTAAAAGGTAGACATTAATGCAGTGAACTTTCTGACCCATGCATAAACAGAGCCCAGTGTAATCCAAACCACTTTACACAGGATGAAAGAAAGAAGAACTAGAGTTGTTTTAGCTGAATATGACAAGAGATATCTGTGTCACCCTGGTTACTTTTACATGTCATACTATTCCCTCTTCTATTTTCTTAGAAACAAGCTGGAGGGTACATTTGAGCTATCAGTGGGATGAAGGAAAGCTTCTTATGACTAGGTGAGGAGGAGGGAAAGCAGAAAATGTAAAAATCCCATACACAGTTGTAAAGACTAGACTCGCCTTAATGCAGCAGTCACAGCAGACAACCCTGAAAGACAAAAATCTCCAGCATTATCATTTGAGTAAAAGCTCAGCAGCTACCAATATTGCAGCTACAATGTAGCTAATTCCAAAGTAAGTCTGAATCCATTATTGTGGCAGAACCACTCGATGGCAAAGTGAAGCAGCTGAGAACTCCACTATTCAGTTTGCCAGCTTTCCTATTTCTGGTAGTTTAAATAATTTGAAATGTATCAACATTCATAGCTCCAAGGCTTTATCTGCAAATGCTCATTACACTTCACCCACCAGACAGTTGCTCAATTTCCAGTGGTTGTTTACTTGCTGCTTATAATCAATTCAGGGCTTCACAACTGCTTCAAATAGATTTAAGTGAGCCTTAATGAGCCTGAAGTTCCTCTCTCACTCTCCCATGAACAGAAAGTCTCTGACAAATAAGTGGATACAAGTAGGCTCAACTCCTTTCCCAGTCACAAGGTCTGGAGTTCTCTTTTTCAGTCCTTAATAGAAGATTCTGGTGTAGACCCTGTCTCAGAACCTCTTCAAGACCTGGGCTGAAGTTAGAGCAAACCTTTAGAGCAAACCTTTAGAGCAAAATGCAGAAGGTGATCTCAGAGAAACTAATTTCATACTGGCACAGGAAATCTGGCTATTGCTGAGTTAACACTAAGAGTTAAAACTGAGATACTACTTCAGAGAGAAGATTTTCCACATCCTCCCCAGCTGTAGACACTTTAGCCTGGCTTGTGCAGTAAGGCAAAGCTGAAGGGCTCAGCAACCTGGTTCTATGCAGTAGTACAGCCAGGGAATACTGAGAATTCTCAGCCTGTTCTTTCACTTTTTTCCTCCCTCCTCATTCAGTCCTTTTGTACCAGCTCACCTGCTGCAGAGGTAACATTTGTAAGGCCACTTAAGAAACATCTGCTTATGGCAGCTGAAACAGATCTGTGGAAAAGAAAGTTATTTGTGAATGCAAATGGGAAACATCTTTGTACCAACACTATCCACTGCCTGCCAACAAGCAAGCACGTAAACAAACCTTCTAAAGGCTTTAGATTCATATACAATAACAGAGGTCCAATAAAGGATAGCAAAGACACAGGACTTAAAAGCTAAAAAGGCAAGAAAATTCTCACTTGTAGGCCAGTGTTTTTATAATGCAGAGGTTTGGGGCAGCTGCCAGACAACAGGAGTTTAAAAAAGGCTCTTGAGCAAACAATAGCTGTATTGTGCAAGAATGTAACAGTAGCTAGTTAAGAGAGAAGGAAGAAGAGAGACATTCTTTGAGGTAGACTGCAGCAATCCCAAAGAGATTAAATCAGGGCAAATTTGAATTCAATCCTGAAGCAAAAAATGAGTCATAAGGAAGCTGATGAGTCGCTTGAACTTTATAAAAAAGAGCACATTCATACACAGCTGGCAGTCAGAAGTGATATTATCTTGAGAAGCAGAACTTGAGAAAGCTAAAAAAACAGCAGTGGGTAAGAAAGCCGTTTTAGAATAGTCATAGAGCAGGCAAATTAAAGCAGGGTCAGTAAGGTGAGAAGAAAACAAGGACTCAGTCTCAGGAGCATCAGATAGCTTGTGCAAGTAGCATGGCTCCGCTAGTAGAACCTTTGACTCTGTCCATACTGCTAAATAAATGAGGGCAAAAAAGTGACCCAAAAGCCAAGAAGCACAGACTTCCTCACATCTGTGTTGCAAAGGGCCTGTACTCAGGACATCTGCTCTGGAGGAGCGGTTGCCACGCTCCCTCTAAAGGAGAGTCAGGGATAAGGCACAAGTTGATACATGCAAACAACCAACAGTCCTGAGCTATACAGCTCATTCCCTGTCCCCCTCATTTTCCCCACCTTCATGTCCACTTGGCAAGGTGGTTTGAGTCAGCACAACTTTGGTATGGGAGCCCGAGTCAAGCACCTTTGTTTCACTGTTTAGGAGTACCAAATTGCAGCTATTTACTTTGGGATTTCGGAGCTGATCAATAGTCATGGCAGTCAGCTCTGCTTGCATGGAAATCAGACAAGAAGAAACAAGCAAAGGCTACTTTCTAGGCAATTTATACAGCTTAAACTAGATTAGAAGCCATCACTGCAGAAATACTAAAAAAGTTTTCCAGCCCAGGGCCAAACTCAGATCAGCTGTTATGAAGAGGATAAGCTGAGGCAGAGGGTGCCTCTGCAGTTCAGCACAGAGGGCCATGAAACCAGCCAGCTTTTGAAAAGGCAAGGGCAGCACCAAGAGAAGGAGGAGAAACGTACCTTTGCTCTTGGCAAGACACCATCACCACCTCCTTGGAAGAGGCCTCGCTCTCCAAGCACCATCATTGCACATCTGGTTCCAATCAGCTCAGCAATGGTTGGTGATGGCCACTGGGTAGGAAAGGGACAGCCCTATTGAACGACAGAAGTTAAACATCAGGCGACCCCGACAACACCAGCAGAGGCAGGTTGCTACAGTTTTCAAGCAGATTCCAGAACACGTGTTGTCGTCCCCCCCCCCCCCCCAGATACAAAATTGCTTTCCACAGCACAACACTCTCTTGCCCCTCTCTTGCCCTTCTCTTTCCCAAGACCTGTTGGTGCCATACAAAGGGAAGCTGTAGGCTCATGGTCAGCCAGGAGACAGCTGTGCTTCAATCCCCAACATACCTGCATCCCCCACCACTGCTGAACAAAGAGGCATCAGGGAGGTCAGTTAAGGACTTGCCAAGGTGGGGCAAGGAGGGATGCAGAAGGAAAGAAAGAGACAAGGGCACAACATACCATACCAACATACTGTATCAGGGCAGAACAGGGTGAGGCCATAATTCAGAGGGTTGCATGGAAGCACATAGACTCCAGTATATTTCTCCCACAGCCATCATTCAGAGCCTGATAACTTCAGTTCTACATATATTATACATTTAAAAGTCACTAATGCTGTGCTATCCACATTTTGTTAACTACTTATTGCCCCTTACCGCAGCTTAAAAGATACTTGTGAGCATATCAGAATCTAGAGAAAAGGAATGGACATGAAGAAACCAGGATAGTTCCACTCTGAATTACAGTTTGCTTGAGGAAGCCTTGGTGGACACTTTCAAGTAATATCATGGTATTTCCCTCTTCTTGTATGAGAAACAACTTTATTTCACGTCATTAAAAGGGGGAAGCCACCACAAGGACACTGCAGCATCCAGTCTTCTCTTAAGATGTCTCCAAGGAGAGAATAGCATACCAGCTTCAGATGGGTATACCATACGTTCCAAGACAAAAACCACAGAGCATGCTTACTGCTTTCACGAGGATCAAGGAGCAAGTCATTACCAGATATATCAGACCAGGGTTGCTTGCTGACATGTTGGACTTACAAGCTCCTTGCTTTGAAGGCCTCTCTCTAAAGATTTGGACCTTCCTCTGTAAGGAGGCAGCTGCCATTGGCTAGTGCTCAGGAAACACTTAGGCTTAATGTCTCCTGGTAGGGGTGCACTCATGGGAGGAGTGCAATTGGCAGCAAGACCTGGGTAGGAAGAGAAAGTTTTAGGGTGCAGAAAACCCACTATCAGTTTCTAAGTATTCACCCTGAGGACACTCAAAAGCACAACACTGCCTTCTGAAGGTAGCACAGCATACAGCTCTCCCCCTCCAACCCATCTGCTCAGATCACATAGAAAGCAAAGGTTACAGTAATTATGCTTGTCAGTAGTAACTGATGAGGCTTCATTAGCACCATTTAGTTTAATAAAATGAAGTGCTGCACTTTCTACTTGAATATTCAAACCACTCATTTAGCTTTTACTGCAAATTCCAAGTCAGGCCTTTGGGGACATGCAATCATTGTTTTGAAGCTGCAGGAGCTACACAAGCTTCAGTCAACTGCAGAGAAATTATCTTCTAAGGGCACCTCCCCAGACTCTTCATTTAGTATTGGAACTTGTCCTGCAAAGTATCTTCAGGTGATTAATGAAGTACACATTGAGCCCAGCCAAAGGGTTTGGGAGCCCATCAGGCCACTGGCTGTACTCTGTCACCTGGTTTAGCTGTGCAGCCAGAAGTGCACTGACCTGTGCTGATACTCCTGGATACTCCTGATGGCCTGGTGGAGGAAAGGCAGGTGCTGGCAGGCAGCTTGGGAGTGGTTTCCTGTAGACCAGAGGACAGGATGTTCATAATCTGCATGTAAGAGACACCAAGGCCACTGCATCAGAAGTACTGCTGCCTAACAAAACCCAGGATACCCCATGACTGATCAGAAATATTCAAAGCTCAGTCAGAAGTGGAGGAAAGTGAAAAATCAGTGGGGTACATTTATATTCCAAGAAGAAACAAAGTTTCCAAAGTTAATTCCCTTGCACTCCACAGCTAGGAAATTCCAGCTAAGCTAGTGAAGTTTCCAATTCACCTGTTCTCTCTCCTGCCCAACTCCAGCAGTGGATACTAGTACTAAAGTGGCATCTGTTCAGGAGCCAACTTGGCATAATCATCCCCACACAACCCATGGAATACATTGGAACCATTTTCTTGGCTCCAGCTCACACACAGCAACATTGGAGAAGAGTTCAAGAGACCATGACTAATCCAACTCATGAATTCAACTCAAACTCAATGCTTTATCTCAACAGCATTGTTTCTACCTTGTCTAGAAAAGCAAAAAAAACCCCTCAAATTTTATTATATTAGTCTCTATATGAAAGTCCTTCTAGTTCAGCAGTAATATGTCAACCACAATGCTGAACATTCCTCCAAGTAGCTCCGACTGGGCAAATAGAGCTAAGATTTTCTGCTTTTATAATTCATATCTGTTTTCCTCAGTTAGGCAACTGCATTTCATGCAGAAATATTTACAGAAAACGGATTCCTGTTTGTATGCCAGAGCATCTGTGCTAGACATGATGTGCTAGGGCTTAAGTTCTGTTCCACAGAATTTCAGAATATGCTCAGACTGAATCCCAGAACCAAGCAGTCAAGCTTTTCATGACAGAGCCAGGAGTTAAAGAACCAAAGGACTGTGTATTATGGTTTACTCAAGAACAGGGCTCCCAAAATAACTCCACAGACAAACAAGTGGGAATTCACCCATCAAGTTCCTTCCTCAAAATACATCAGTAAGTTTTCTTTTCATGAGCTCACATACCACATGAAATCAAAATACGTCAATACATCTAGCATCAAATGCCTCACTGTGAGGTAAGAGTAGGAATATTCTGGTCCACATTGGCCAGACTCCATGCCATTATAACTTCTGCAGGATCTAGCTTTAAGAGACCAGAGCAGATGTCAGTTCTGTAGAATTATAGAATATCCTGAGTTGGGATCCACAAGGATTACCAAAGTTCAACACCTGCCCCTGCACAGGACCACCCCAAGAGTCACACCATGTGCCTGAGAGCATTGTCCAAATGCCTCTTGAATTCTGCAGGCTTGGTGCTGTGACCACCTTTCTGGGAAGACAGTTCCAGTGCCCAACCACCCTGCAGGTGAAAAGCCTTTTCCTAATAACTAACTTAAACCTCCCCTGACTCAGTTTCAGGACATTCCCTTGGATGGTGTCACTGGTCAGAGAGAAGAGATCAGTACCTATAGGCCGCAGTCATGCCACAAACAGAAGTGTTTGAGAATGAAATGAGCTTCTGTAGAGGAAAGGACTTCAGTGAATCCAGTAGTACCACATTTGTTCACTTCTGAGACAAGATTTCCTACACCAGGATTTGTTCCTGCCCTTCCAGGCAGGCTATGTATATGCTTGCAGCTCTAATTCCTGAAGTAGGCATGTCTCTCATTAGTCCTTCCACTAAAGCCTTACCTCAGCTCCTGCTCCCAGCTGCTGCATTTTAGTGTTGGCAATTTCCAACTCAGTACTGGCATCTTGGGGATGTAAGAAATTGTCACTTGGAGAGTTCAAGGCAGTATTTGATACCACAAGCATTTCTGCAGTGAGAGGGAGAACAAAAAACCCATACCCACAGACTAAACGAGATAGATCTGGGACAAGAAAATGACAAATTTGGAACACATTGGAATTTAAGATTTAGCCAGGCTTAGTACTGGTAGCTACATAATCTTTTATTCTTAGGTGATGGTCAAAGTCCTGTAATCTCACTTAGTGGACAGAGAAATGGGGACATCCATAAAAAAAAAGAGCAAGTTGAAATATCTTTTGAGTCCTAATAAGCCACAAACAGATTTTTTAGAAATAACTATTCTCACGCCATACCACCTCTATCACACAACATTTGTATTTCTCACCACCTGTCACATTACAAATGCTATTGAAATGATAAGTGGGATTTCATTTCCAAGGCCATCTATTATTTTTAGCCAACACGGACTTTGCTTGCTTGCTAGGTCACTCTATAGCAGGTACCTTTGGACCTGCTCCTCTTTTCCTGTGCTTCTGCTGCTGCTGCCCAAGGCTTCGGTGGTTGTTTTAGTTCTGCCATGAGCTGTTCATGCCACCTGGGCTCCTGTGGCACACACTGTTCCAGCTTCACCTTCAACATCTGCAGGCAAAGCATAGCACCACAAAGAGCCATTGGACAGAGCAAGGAGACCAGTGGTGACAGAACAACTGCATCAGCAATGGCCCCGTTTTACAAGTACTTGTCACCCAAGAGGGCACTGGGCCCTGCACATGAGACAGCCTTCAGCACTATGCATAGTGGAATACCCTAGCGACTCTCAAATTGGAAATCAAGAACTCCAGGAGCTCTTTCAAGACCAAAAAAATGTTGCAAATTAAAGAAGCAGTGGAGGAAGGAGGAAGATTGATCATCTTTCTTCTACAAAGATGTCAGCTCTCGTTTTTCTAGTACCATGTTTGGCAGGAGGGTCAATTCAAAAGTTAAGTATGGTTAAGATAACCCCCTCCCAAATACAAACCAGTAGCTGAAGTATTAGCTTTATATTGCTTCAAAATGTCTTGTCACCTCCAGAATTACCTTGTTTTGCTATGATCAGCTGCAGCACCAGGTCACCTACCAGCTCTTGGTGAGGCTTGAGAGAAGCTACATCAGCTTTGGGGGTCCTGTGTTTTTGCTTGATGGTCACCTGAAAGAGCAGAAGTGATGCCTAGGAAATAGCTCTTTCTCTGCTCCTTACACACTCAGCAATTCAGTGGCGCAGTGAATGATACAAGTCAGGATTTGGGAACAGGGGAGATGGAGAGGGCACTAAAAATCAAAACAAAACAAGCCCAAAACAAACAAAAAACCCCCCAAAACAACAAAAAAAACCACCTTAAAAAAACAAACAAAACCATAAACACCAAATAAACACAAAACAAACAAACAACCCCTCAAAACAAAACAAGGAGTTGGGAAGTGTGGAATAATGATGTTTCCTCATATGGGGTTTTGGTAGGGAAAGATTTGCCCGCGGCAAACCAGAGACCATCAGAAGTACTGCACAGCCCTTAGAGGCTTGCATAAGGAACAAAAAGCCTTCTACCCCCAACTGCTCTGAGAAGCAGCTGGAAAACACTACACTCAGATAGATATTAGTGTCAGGAGTGATCCCAACAAGCACCATGGTCACGTCAAATTCATCAGTAAAAGCTCAGCTCCAGGAAGGAGAGCAATTGAACGGGTTAACAAGACTGTAACAGGAACTGTAGCAGCAGGCAGCTGTATGCCTAAGCCAGAGTCCCAGAGACTGGCTTACAGCCCGACATAAACTAGGAACAATAGCAAGACAGAATTGCAGGGCAGATATTCATGTGAAGCATCAAGCCCTGTGCTTGCTGCGTAGGGGAGAACTAACAAAAAAGTCAATTGCACATGCATGTCTTTAGCTGCCTTGTTCACTAATTCGTATTTTGAGGCTATGCCATTTTCTTTCACTTGTGTGTACAACTTCAGAACACGTGGGAGTGCAGGTAGAACAACACTACAGCTCCCCACAGTAGCTGTGCTTTCATTCATTTGCAAATTAGATCACTGTTTGCTAGAGAAGCTTTAAAATAGCTTTGCAGATGGGGAAATCCTCGTTCAAGAGCCTTCACAAAGACCTGAGCAGTAGCACTCTGCTTTTTTTCAGCATTTCTGCCTACTATTCTTCAAACATATTTGTGCTTCTCGTGGACCAAAGAAAAAGTTAATAAAAAGAAAAAAAGGGAAAGAAAAATAAAAAAAAAAGGAAAATCAAGACCCAGATCATCCTGCCACCTTCAGTTACGGTTGTGTACTGCACAGTGCATTGATACATAGTACATTGCAAGGAATACAAGCTAGTTATGATGCACTCTCTCCTTACCAATACTATTTATTTACATATCCATCAAGATACCATTTGCAAACACATGACATAGCATTACCTGGAAGCTGAAGCAACAATCAAGCCAAGCAAGAGCTGGGATTTTGTAGAGGTGCATGGTTTAGCTGAAGCTTTTAAACCTGCTACACTCTAGCAGCACCAACAAAGAGGAAAAAAAGCTGATGTCTAGTGCAGTATGCAAAGTTTTCACTTTTTGTAATACCGCTCTTTATTACAAGAGTTGTGTCTCATCTTTGGCCAAGACGTCTGTTTGCAAAGCACGCCAATGCCACAAGGCCTTGTGCCAACGTTTTAGATCTGCTCATCATTCCCAGCTCAAGCTGCAGCAAGCAAAGATTAGAGCCTTTAGAGACATCCCAGACGTTGTTATATCTGGTCATCTTCACCAACCAAGTGGTGAAGGTGGAAGTCTCTGCTCCTCCCTGTGAGGGGCTCAACATTTTTTACCCTAAGTTCCTGCAGTAGCTGAGTGCACTGCCCAGAGGCCTCTGCCTTAGGCTGAGCAGAGAACTGTCTCAGAAGTGCATCTGCCCTTGCATACACAGCACAGCATCTGGGAAGGCAAAGCAACAAGTAAAAGATTCCAGGTACAGCTCAGCTAAAGGAGCCTGGAAGGACACAAGTGCCCAAGGTGGAAAGCACAAGGCAGCAAGAGTGTGCTCCATGAAACTGTTATGTGCAGGGCAGAACAACTGCTGCAGGGAAGTGAGTGGTTGACCCTGGTGGGAGAAGAGGTTTACTGCTCCAATTCACGAAACTGAGGCTACTCCTGACTTGAAAAGTTACTGAAAATTAAGTACTTGGGTAGACAAACAGAGTGATCTAATGTTGAACTGCAGCTGAGAGGGAGGCCCAGACACTTCTGGACTTCCATGTACCTTTGAAAAAGACACACCTTTGGAGAAGGGGTCTCAACACACACTGCTCAGAAAGGAAGTAGAGTGGATGTTTCCGAAGCAGACTGCAGTCACTCACCTTCCGCAGGGTGTACCTCTTGTGCTGAATGTCATCCAAAAGCAGCTCGTAGGGAGAGCGCTGACATTCCTTTGGAGACACACAGCGCCGTGGTCGCTCCGCGGCCTTGCGCAGCCTCACGCCAGCCTGCAGCTCACAGATCACACTGGGTAACAGGCATGCCTTGGAGAAACCAGCAAGGGCCAAGTCAGTAGCTAGCTAGAACCCACAGAGCAGAATTCCCCCCCCCCCCCCCCATGTAACAGGGCACACTTAGCAGCTGGAGTCATTCAGAAACACAGAATTGTGTCCTTAACATGCCCTTCTACTCACTTCCAGATCAGGGTACAGTACCAAAGCAGAGAATGGCTTTTATTTGCAGAAGTTAATTTACAACAAGGAAACTTGTAGCTGGCTCACTAGGCTCATTCCCAAAATTTGTCATTAAATTCATGGACGTACTTCAGCAAAATACAGCTTTTGCTGCCAGGTAAATAAATAGACCCATTTTCTTTCTGCAAGTGCTCCAAGTGCCAGAGTGTTTTCTTATTACTGGTTCCTAGGAAACACTAAGAGCGAAATCCCAAATCTTACCATTAAAATCCTCCAAATTTTCAGAAAACGAAGGGTTGAAGTGTACAGAAAAAACCCGAGGAAGACAAGCAGGCAAGGGATCTCATACTTAACAGCAGCATAGGTTAGCAGTCTCAGCCTAGAGACACAAGTTAAAAAACCTGACATCTGCTCATCCTGTTTCTGTACTAGTATCTGAGGATGTTCAGGCATGCAGTATAACCCGACAAAAGCTAAAGACAGGAAAAAAAGTAATCAACTCAATAGCATGTTTAGACAACATTGTAATGGAAGTGCTAAATCAACAGCTTATCTGGATCCCAGTGGCAAATTGAGCAAGAACAAGCCATTGTATTATAAACAGTGAAAGGGAAGCAAAGCATTTTAGAAAACTGCCTCAGAACAAAGTATCTGACTTAGACTTCTCTCTGTTTTCTACTTACAGCATGAAGCATCTTCTCTCTACTTATCCCTTCAGATGCCTTGGTATAATTACAGAAGAGTCTTATGCAAGCTCTGACTGATGGCTGCCCTCAAGAAGACAGATATTTTTGTTGGATTCTTTTAGTCTGGATTTGGTAATCGTACCTCAACTCCAGAAAACTAGAACTCTCAAAGTATGACTAAACACTTGCCATATCTCTTAGGCTACATTTAATACTGTGTGGGAGAACATACAAAAGGGTCTGGGCAAACTCATCAGTACTAGAGACTTTTGAAATAGCTTACCCCAAGATATTTGCACTTTATAGAGTTGTATTTCACAGGGTAACTGAACTTGACTGAGAGACATGATCTGACTTAGAGAGACTTCTGTACTGTAATACTGCCACATTAGTTTGGGGACAAGAACTGACCTTCAGCTGACCATTTCAGAGCAACTAACACACCCAAAACATTTTTCAGATGTTCATGACATCATTATCACTCATGTTTCTATTTCCCTACTGACTGGATCACTGCAATTACTCTATTTTTGCCATCTATTGTATTGTCAAAAACCACCTAAACTTTCCACAACCTATGAAATACAACATAAAATGCTACAACACTATAAACCCATTACCTTGAGTTCAAACAGGTGAGTGCTAAGACAGCTGTGTTTCTACCAAGTCTCACTGCTTAGATTTCAAGGTGAGCATCAACTTGGGACACGTAAGCTCTGCTGAAACTGTCCAATACTGCATGCTGTGGTCTGCATTTCAGAAGATCTGTTTTATATCAGTCAGCATGAAAAAGTGTGGTTCATAGAGCACTTTACCTGCTTAGCACCACTCAAGACATCAGCTCTAACTTGTGGGACCCCAGAGAAGCTGGCATCCTGGTTATTTAAAACTTAAGAGACTGTCAGAGCAATGCAATCAGCTGGTGCTTGGGGACTTGGAAACTAGAGGCAGAGGATTCACAACAGACATCCAGCTTTTGGAATTCATGCCTCCTGAAGGAGCAGAGGCCAAATACACTGGCCTTCAGGCCACATGGCAAAGCCATGTACTTATTCATGTATTCCCTGCAGAAAAGAGCTACAGCAGTTGATGAGTTTGTGGTTTGAGATAGCTTGCCAGTTTATTTTAATAGATCACAAAATTGAGAATATGCCCAAACACACATTTCACAAACATTTTCATACGAATAGTTTGAGCACGCTTCAAAGCAAGTGCTATTTAGACAAAAGGAGCGAGTCCACAAGTCTCTCGGGGCTTGCTGTTTGTCTCCACAGACTCCAGACTACAGAGCATTTGTTTATGCTGGGCAGAGCTCCAGCCTGAAGAGCTGTTTGTTTCTGATTGAGCCCCAACCGTGTAGGGCCTTGAAAAAAAGCACAGTAAGTTGCCTTCCCTGCCCCGAACACACAGTCCAACATCTGTGGAAGCACAGAAGGCAAAGACAAGAAAGGCAGTGCACAGAAGGTAGGAGTGACATCATCTCACTCTCTTTCACTCTTTTATTTGAGCTGCTGGAGCTGCACAACCACAAAGACGGACAGTGCTACTGGCCTTCAGTCCCTGCCAGTCCTGACCAACAGAGATCCCACCTAATAAGAGTGAACTAGTCCACCCCAGGACTGTCAACAACAGAAGAGTTTTCCGGGAGTTTTCAGTCCAGCTATGAGAAAGGAGCAGATTGCTTTTGGCAGGTGTCAGTTCCTGCCAAGAGCTAGAATTTGGGGCTCATTTGTGGGAAGGAACAGCCTGCATAACTACTTGTGGGCATTTACTCCAAAGACTGCCTCCAACTTCATTTTTAGAAGTGGTTTAAGTTATACCACAAAGACAATCTTTGGGTAGAATAAAAGCCCACGTGAGGTTGACATATGAAATAGTTTAACTTCAAGTTCACTCCCCAGCTTGTTTTGCAAACAAGTCTTTAACTACTCAGGCTGCTGAACAACCTAAGTAGTTCAATTTGTGTTCATGCTCTATTTTTCATAAAGGAATCAATGGAAAGCCTCAGAGAGCCAACGCTGACCAAAAAACCCCAGTTCCCCATAATGAAGAAAATAAATCTCTTACACCATGGGTTTTCTTCTTTTGAATGGGACTTTCCACCCAATCTTCCACATCCATTTTTCTCAGTCTCTGAGAAAGGCAAGCATATGAGGTTATCACTCTACACTCTTCAGTGATTTCCTGTCTAGTCAGCATAAATTACTAATGTTTATCTGAAAAGCCAAGAAGCTACAAACACTTAAACTTTCAAATGCTACAATAAATAAAAATGGTTCAGAGACAGCAGCTATTCACATTGTGAAAACAGAACTTCATCCAAGGGTTCCATTTCTAGTGCAATGAGAAGGTTACTTTAGATCTTGGTGAGTGTGTGAAGGTACAGGGAATAGCAGCTAATGGGTAATCCCAAACATACTTCTTTGGAGGTCTGGATGATGGTCACAAGCTTCTGTAGTTCCATATAGTCAGTAAACAGATTCTTACAGGTCATTTCATAATAGCTGGTAGCCTCAGAAGGTGTGGAGAAGTGCTCCTCACAGGCCTGAAAGAAGTGCAGCTATTTAAAAAAGATCTTAAAGTTAAAAAAAAAAACAAACAAAAAAACCAAAACATGGTAGGATGGAATAAAGCAACATTCTGTTTCCTCAATCCATGGTTAAAAGTCATCTTCTTCACTGCCCCTTTATTTTTTTTTTCCATTGCAGATACAGAGGAACAAAGAAGGAAGATAGTCTTTTATGTACAATTATGGAAGTAGCTGTGTAATTTGTTTATCTTGTTTTCCATAAGGTGTGCTTCAAAACAAGCACCTGAAAGGGGAAGCCTCCACTTCAAAGAACAACAACCCATAGCTGAGGGAGTCACTTGCCCTGTTCTTTTTCCCTGTCCTGATCAGACAGGGGATGGGAAGTTTCTCATACCTTTAAATTATGGCTGAGAGAAAAATATCTATTTGAGTTGAGACATTCAAATCCCAGCCTTTGCAGAAGCCAAATACTATGGAAAGGGAGTTCTTCAATATCCATAGTGTTCTAGGTATTGAATTTGGAGACTGTGTACAGAAGGACTTTGTAGATACAGCTGTGGGAGAGCTGTACTCAGTCTTCCTTCTTAATTATTTTCCATGGGCACTTACAAACACCTTAAATAGTTTTGCCTTTTCCCTCTCATGGGAAAAGGCCAATGTTCCCTCTCTGTCCTCCAACAGCCCACCCAGCTTTTTCCCAGAAACAGTCTTGCCTCTTGGCCAACAGCGCTGTTCCATCAACTCCTCTAAAGCTGCTGTATTTACTAAGGGGGAAGAAAACACCTTGATAACATCCTGCAGGGTGACTGGTGGCTCTGTTGGCCTGTCATCCAGTTTCAACATGAGGCACAGCAGTTTCTCCAAAGGATCACTCAGTTCTCGCTCCATTTGGCTGTCGATTCCCCAGTCCAGGGCTTCATAGATCACCCCTCCCAAGTACTCCAACAGCTGCAGACAGAGACCAAGGAAGCAATATAGCACAAAGCGCTGTGGAGAACATCACAGCTCTTATTTTCCAGCCATGTGTGCATACTCCTCTGCTCCTGAGGACTGAACACATCACTCAGGATGAGAAATACCTCCATTTAAGCTGGTTTAAAGTTCTTAAATGGCCTTAACTGGCAGCCCTAAGATATATGCCATAAGGACAACAAGACTGTGGCCTATTCCACAGTAGACAGCATCTGTGCACATTGTTTCCCAGTCCCACTGTCTTACTTGAGTTCAGTCCAAGCACTTTGTTTCCTTTTCCAGGTTGCAGGGGAGTCACTCTCACAGGCCACAGCAAATTCAAGCACCTTGATAATTTCCCAAGACATTTGCATCTCCTGAGCAGGCCTTCTACTACAACAGGACTGTATCTGCACACACAATGAAGGTAAATACACAGGCTTACCTTGTCCTCTGACTGCTGAATGCTGCCAAAATCTGAAAGGGAAAAACAAGGATCAGGGGAGAAAGACAGCTGTACAGGCATTGACAAACAGCTTTTAGAACCCTTTTCAAGAGAGGGGAACAGGACACATTGTTTGTAATAAGGTAACTAACTCCTCTGACTAAAGTCAGTCCTACCTGGGGAAAGTAGGCCTGTATTTGGGGAGTCCTGGAAAACACCATGGGAGACTCATGTTATTGTGAGCATCAGCCCAAAGTAACAGATACTGCATTTTATTGTTTGCTCATTGATATCCACCCTCCAGGGGAGGCACAGGATCTTTACCTTTATCCTTTACTACCCTCTCTAGTCCCTGAAGAGTTAGCCTAGCACTGACCTCTGCTGCAGCCCAACCCAGCCCTACATAACACAGAGTTATTACCACTTGCTGGGCTACACATAGTGACCAAAAAAAGGGAAAGTATCAATCATAAATCTGCTGTGAGAGTTACCATAACAAAGGAACCATACACTGGAAGATGAACAGAGCAGAACACATAGCAAAGCCTCAGACTATTTATTTCAAATAACATAAGTGGTGGAAGGCTTTCATCACAGCTATTCCCTAGAACCAAATGACTCAATAGAGCACTATTAGAGAATTTAGCAGGTCATGCATCTGTATTATCACTCATCCACAGTCCTCTGAAATGAAGTACAGGTAGGAGAATAGCTTCATGAAAAGAGAGGGGGGGAAAGCAAAACAAAAAAAGCAGAAGAAAAATTTCCCTTGGCATCTGCAGGTACCTATGCTCTTACCAGACTTGTGGTAGACCTGGAAGGAAGCAGTACCATCAGCATGGATAAAGATGCTCTCAGAACCCTTTACATACACAGAACGGAGTGGTAGGCTGTGAGCCAACTGCTCTATTTTTCTGCAACACTGAAAGCAGATAGCCCAGGCTTGCTCCTCACTTAAAGGATGCTCAAAACACCTCAGGAGCTCAGCTACAGAGACCTTTGCAATCCTCTGCTCACACCCTGGTGGTTCCATTTTTCCTATCACCTCCAGCCTCCACTTTTAGCCTAGGGAGCTTAAAACTTCCTTCCCCAGGCTGGGCAAGCCTTCACAGCAGCTTTTTATTGGTTCTCTTGATTTGCTCTTGTCTCCCTTCCCTACAGGTGCAACCATTAATGTCAACTTTTTCTCTGTCTTTTTAAAGGCACATGACTTTATCTGTACTTGTACGAGATTTCTTAAAAGGACAGAATAAGTGTACAACAAAATGGAATCAAGAGAAGATAAATGTACAAAAATTGTGCTCAATTTAACTACATTGTTTCTCACAAATATATGAATTGCACCAATGTTTGCAAGTAGGAGAAGAGTACATTAAACTTCAGGCAGGCAGGGAAAGAGGCAGGAAATGTACTTGGGGGAGGAGAACTGAGAACACTATAAAAATCATTGTGATAGGAAACTATTCCAACAGCACTAATAAATTACAGAGCGATCAACTCTGTGAGGAATGAAATCTTGGAGATGAGAGCTCTTTTTCAGAGTAGTAATTGGTAGTTGATGTTAATGAAGTTGATAAGGTCTTAATTTGAAGTGTTGGTCTGTTGTTAAACATTGAATGTTAGAGTTCCAGGACTTGCCTTTAGTTGCTGTTGTTAAATGTTACTATTTTTAAAATGCACTTATACAAATACACTATACAAATACAAATGCAAAAATGCACTATACAAATACCTGTATTTGTATCTCTCCTCATCATACTCTGTATTTGTACCCCGTGTTAGTCTGTTGTTAAACCTGGAATGTTAGAATTCTAGGACTTGCCTTTAGTTGCTGCTGTTAAATGTTACTATTTTACCTTGCATGTGTATCTCTCCCCATCATACTCTATATTATATACCCATTTCCGTCTCACCCCGGATTTGTACCCATTCCCGTCGGGAACCATTTCCCCTGCTCCCCTGCTCCCAGGAGGCCTTGCACGTGGACTGAATTCAAATGAGAGGCTGTGGGAACTACATGAACCCTCTCAAAACAACAAACCAGCACATCAACTTTGACTTTAACCCACCAGAACCACACTAAGTCACCCACTCCTGACTAGAGCCGGATCCCGTCCTGTCACCACAATTTGATAGTACCCAGCTTAGAGGATAGCCCTGGACTACAAGCCACTATTGCCTTTTTCAGGACTGTCGTGGGGACGAAAGCTCCAGCTTTGTTGAAAGACAAAACTGCACGCATCCTCAGCATCGTCCAGTGGGAGCAGTGGTGGTGTGCATGACCCCTCGGGTTCCTCACCCACACATCTCTTAAAGGCTTTCTTAAAGGAGCTGGTCTATTTATAACAAACTCCATGGGACACTGCAGTGGCCCCCTTCCCATGGCAAAATGCAATAGTAGGAGCTGTGAGCATGGAGCGATCAGGATGGCCCCGGGGCATGGGCAGCAAGGCCCTTCCTTGCCCAGAATGCCAATATCCCAGAATCACAGGATCAGTTGGGTGGGAAAAGATCTCTGAGATCATTGAGTCCAACCTGTGACTGAACACCAGTGTCAGCTACACCCTGGCACTGAGTGCCACGTCTGCTCTTTCCCTAAACACTCCAAGGACGGTGACTCCATTACCTCCCTGAGCAGTCTGTTCCAATGTCTGATCACCCTTTCTGTGAATAAATTCTTTATAACGTCCAACCTGAACTTTCCCCAGTGCATCTTAAGTCTATATCCCGTAGTCTGGATGTGAATTGCTCCTGGTGTGAAGCCGATCACGCATCTTTTTCAGCACATTGAGGCTTGTCTGTGACATGGGAGGGCACAGCTGCACGGCTGGGGACTGGGCTCACCCCCAGGACCACGCCTGCACCGCCTCATGGCTGCTGCTGCGCTGGCTCTCAACGACCACAGCTCCCTAGGCGCACAGTGGAGAATTGCGAGGTTTAGAAAGTGTGAGTAACACTCATGATTTATAGTTATTTCCCTTCTCGCTTATAGCATTTGGGAATGTAGCGGACCAGCGCGAGGCCCCGGGCCATGACGCACCCCCGCGGGGTGACTTGGTCCGGCCCGCGACTCTCCCCGCCGGCCCGCCCGGATGGTGCCGCCCACGCTGGGCTCGCCGCGCGCAGCGGGAAGATGGCGGCGCCCAGGGCGGCGTGGGACGGGCGGGACGAGCCTTGGAACCGGCTGGACGTGCCCTGGCCCGCGAACAGCGCCGCGGTGCCGCTGGCGGCCCAGCACCCCGCAGGTCCCGGCGCGGTGCCGAGGGGTTGGGGGGTGTTCGAAGCCGTTCCCGGGTGTTTGCGGTGGGTGGTCGGTCGGTGGGAGCCGGAGCAGCGGCCGGAGCGGCGGCGGGCGCTGGTGCCGGTGCCCGGCGCTGAGGCGCTGCCCGGGTCTCGCCCGCAGTGGGGTTACTGTCGGCGCTGCGGCGGCGCTGCGACATCGCCGGGAAGCGGCTGTCGGGGCCGGGCCTGGCCGCCGAGGGACGCGTCCTGCGCGCCGTGCTCTACGTGTACCACAGCCGGCTGCTCCGGCACCGGCCCTACCTGGCCCTGCAGCAGGTGAGCACCAACCCCGCCTGGCCGGCAGGGACCGGCCGCTGGGTGCTCCCGGCCCCCGGTCACCACTCCCCGAAAGGCCTTTCGAGTAGCACTTAGCGCCCGGAGCATCGTGCAAAAAAAGTTTGTGAGCGGGTGCATTTTTGTTTTCTCATGGTTGAGAGTTTTTGTTTTTTCATGGGTTTGTTTTCTCATGGGTTTCTTGGCCCTCCGCAGCAATTGCAACTTCAGTTTTTCTGCCCCGGTCTCGGATACTCGCGCTGAGACCTGAAATAGGTATTACTCCATACCTTTGCATACACGAATAATACAGGGACGTCATTGCAATGATAGGAGGGAGGAATAATAATCCTATCCTACTTATTAGATATTTTCTGTTTTAAGATGAAAAGTGAACACCTTGCCAGTTTTCCAGGGAAGGAGTTGTCAGCATTTTCAAATAACTGTTTTGAAATGGAGCAGGAATAGCACTTAACTTCTTGATTTGTTTATGTTTTCCTTCTTGACATCCAGTAGTAAAGGCCCTTGTATACAGCAGAGAAATCATGCAACACCAATTAAACATGGCCTACTCCAGTCCTTTACTTAATTCTATATTTAGAATGCAGAGTGATGAAGGGATGTTTTTCATCATTGTGCAGATGTAGAAATGTCCCAGAACATCCCATCACACAGAGCTCCAGTGTGGGCTGTTAAACTGATGATATAATGACAGTTTAATATAGGGACAGTTCTTAGACCAGTCTCTCAAAATACCAGTCAAAGGAGTTTTCTTTTCTCCTAGGTAGAGCAATGTTTAAAGCGCCTATGGAAAATGAATCTGCTGGGCTGCTTGGAAACTCTGGTAGGACTGATTCCCAAGTAAGTGGCATTATCCCATATCTTGTACTGTCCATTAAATCTGTCTGCAGAGCTAAAGGAAGAGGATGCTAGATTGTAACCAACTCTTCATCCTTGTATCACCACAGGAAAAACGCATCTAAAGCCCAGGCAGAGTGCTTGGTTCCCAGCCAGCCTATTCTGGAAACTGTGGCTTTGAAGGTATTGGGAGGCTGCAAGCTCATACTACGTCTGCTGGATTGTTGCTGTAAAGCTTTTCTGTATCCTTTTTTACCACAAAAACATTATCTTAGAGTTCACCAGTAGCATCTCATGAGACCAAATTGAAGTTTTGTGTAGGCCCTGTATTGCTGATGGACTCAACTGTGCAATTCATAGGTGCAACTTGAAATGTCTTTGATAGCCAGAAACCTTCATTTCAAGTTATTATGTGGAAACCTCAGGCTGTCTGGCGAGCAGCTGTTCTGGCCTTGAGCCAGCACAGTATCCAAACAAAGTTTGGATACTCATCTCCCAGATTATTCCAGGATATTGCCTTGTGAATTGCCCCTAGTTGGTGTCTTCAGCAACTCTCATTACATGCTGTTTATTTTTTTAACCTTAACTGCTATAATCTTCAGCTTGTCCGTGAAACACCTCTGCTCGAAGGAATTCATACTCCTGAATACTGTGGCTTTGGGGCTCCTGAGCCGGCTCTGGTTTGTGTGTTTAAAAGTCTGTCTGGTTTGTGTCTGTCTGTTTGATGTGCCTGTCAGGGAGAAGGGCTTGTAATTAGGCCTTGCTGCTAAGGGAGCTTTATTCAGTTGGGAGTAGGAGAAGGGAGGTCCCTCCATGCCTTTGGACTTGATTTTACAACCTGCAGAGTTGTACAAGTGGAGAGAGACTTCTTACATGCTCTTATGGAAGCCTTTATTCTTGGATCTTAGCAAACTATATGTACCTCTAATGAAATCACAGTGTTAGTGTCAGTCTGCCACAAACACCCGGTACTATGGGCACCAAGGAGTAAGTCCTGCCTCATGCTGGAATGGGAAGGCTGGGTTAAACATGCTCTATTATACTACTGAGTTTTCTAGGGAATTTGGCTGTTCTGGTTTCTCTCAGTCTGGGAGAATAACTGCTGTCTGTAGCTGAAGGAGTAACAACATTGCTAGAACAACTTTCTGTGACACAAGAAATCTTCTAACTCAAGGAAATGTAGAGCAGGCAATTGTATGGCATCAGGCCTGAATTGGTGCAGGGTGCTTTTGTGGGAAGACCTCATGGCACCTCAGATGTGACCCAAGAACCTGATGGGTCCCAAGTGTGGCACTCAGCAAAACTCTATGGAAGTGGAGGGGCTCCTGATCAGGAATTTTCAAGTCACTTTTGCATTCTGATTTGGAATAGTTCCTTAAAGCTCAGACTTAAGGAAAGCAGGGTGATGGAGTGTAAAAAGGTAAATTTGTACTGAGGGGAAACAGGAAAGGACCATTGAGCTAAAGGTAGTTATTCAGTGAGCATTATGTTTTGCTAGAGGAGACTCCATTCCTTTTTGTCCTCTGTCTGCAGGATCCAGTACAGGTGTGTATTGCAGACCCTCATGTCCTTGTACAGTGCCTTGTCAACAATGCTTCAGCTGGTATCTGAAACCCAGAAGACCCCTTATATCAAGGGGTTTACCTTCCCTTCTGATGTTGGTGACTTCCTTGGAGTTAATGTATCTTCTGAAGCAAAGAAGCAAAAGGCTAAAATGCTTACAGCAAAAAAATCTACCAGCTGGATGACGAAGTTCTTCCCAGCAATGCCAGAGGCAGTATCAAAGGTTGGGAAAAAGAGAAAATCTGAGACCTGTACAAGTGCTGTGAAAAACCATAGCATCCTGTGCCCCATGGACATTGGAGAGACAGTTGTGGTGCCCACAGCCAGGAGAGGTAAAGCCTTGTGCCAGTGTAATGGTTTCTGACATCTCAGAGACTGACTGCAACTTCTTTCCCAGAGGGCCAAGCACTTCTACCTACAGGGTGGTTCTTGTACAAACTCCCTGTCCTTGGAAGAGAATGCTGCATGTGCCCTTGCCTTTATAAAGCTGTGGATAATGTCAGTATCATGATTTTTGGGGGGGTGTTTCTTTTAATCAGGAAACAGCCTTGAGAGAAGCAGGTAATCAATGCAGTATGTATGTCCTGAAAATAGTTATTTGTACTTTTCTGCTTTTGCATAGCTAAGAAGCTATGGGCACTGTCTGTAGCCCATACAAGAGCAGGTAAGGCTGTAGGAACAGGATGCAAGTATCCTGTGTTTGCTGTTCTGAACTGTGCCCAAATCTTCCTCTGCAGTCAGGGCTATGGCCAGTTACTGCAGCCATCCATGTGTTTGTGTGAAGCTTTTATCCATTAAGTTCTCCTCTGCAGCCATCTGTAAACTTCTGCATGCTCTTCATTCCTTGCCAGTTGCAATGCAAAACTAGTGTAGTCCCCTTGTGAGCCTGCTGAGAGCTCTGTGGTGTCTCTGTGCAAAGAAATAAAACTATCTCAGTGTTGTAATGGGAACTCTTTTCTCTCTCTGTAGGGAAGCACCCAGGGTTTGATGTGAAGAGCTTGCTTAGGCCATCCAGACATCCCACACAAGAGGTTTGTATGGCATTGTTTTACATGTTAGGTTGGTGGTTTGGGTTTTTTGTACACAAGTTTTTTTATTTTTGTATTGTAAAGACTCTAACACTTGAAACATGATATCCCTGATTGAAAATGTCCCCTTTTCCTGCCTTATTTTTGCTTGTCTTGCAACTCAGGTTAGTGTGGAAGCTTTGCACAGAAAATCAATCACTACTTATTTCTGCTTGGGAATTTGGGCATTTGTTGGTTTGTCAAGTGAAATGACCAGAGACCAATTCAGCAGTAGACAGAAATACAAATTCTAAATAACCGCCTCTGCTTTTTTGTATTCCACAAAACAAGACTGCTCTTCCCTTTTCTCCTTAGAAAATAAGGAATATTCTCACAACATTCTGTGTTCTGCTCCCTTCCGGCAGAAAGGATCAAACACATCATCTTTTTAAAACATTCTTTCTGTTACTGTTTGTTTCAGGGTCTAAGCATTGCATCAACACCTCTTCAAGCAAAGTCATCACCACTTTTGTCTCAGATAGTAAAATCACAGCACACTGGATCTCTTGTACAGATGGTCCAAACAGCTGCATCATTTGGGGAGCTATCAGAGGCACTCAGAAAAGCTATTCTGTGGTGCAAAACCAACAAATTCAAATCAGAAGCTTATTTTCTCCGTAACAAGTTGTTGAAAAGCAACCGGCTACACCATGTGGAGGCTCAAGGATGCAGGTAGTTTTGCATGGGTGTGGGATTTCTGAGTCTAACATTTGTATTTTAGTATTATGTATTTTGCTATAGTATAGTGAAAGTGTGTTCTAAGCCATTATTTTAAAACTCAGGATCACTAGTTCAGGTTACTGGGTGCTCTGACCATGGGCATTCTGATTAGTTTCAGTCACTTGTGATTTAAAAAGGCTTTAAAAGGCTATCAAATGTACAGTACTTAGGAGGGAGGATGTAAATGCAACTTAAATCATCTGCATGTTTTATGGTAACAAATGTATGAGGCAAGGGTTGTGTTTATTCAGACTGTTTTGGCTACTATTGTACAAGGTTCTGTTTCCTTGGTATTCTAAGGAAAATTATAGAGATGGGTAATGATGAAATCTCTCCTAACTCCAAATGAAGTAACACTTTAGTAGCTGATAAAGTTCTGTTTTCTAACTTTGCTCCCTTGAAGCTTGAAGAAAAAGCTGCGCTGTGTGAAAACATCTGTCTGCAAACACCTCCTGTACGGGTCCCAACACACGCGCCGGCCGAGGCAGCACCTCCAGGCACGCTGCTGCCGAAGGAGGATCAGATCATCGGCGCGCTTGAAGGCAGCTCCAAAGACTGGTGGGCAAAAGCCTCCTGAGCTTTTTGGGGTCTGTGAGAACAGTGCATCACTCATCCTCCCAGCTTACCAAGATGGGTCTCCGAGTCAGGAAGAACATTCCAGCATTGATACAGGACGTGTCAGGCTAAGCACAACAGGGACCCCTAAGCAGCTGCTGTTGGAAGGAAGCCCTGGCCTCGTGTGGAAAGAAGCTGCTGAGAACACAGATATTGATTCTATTTTTGCAGCAATAGGTGTCTGATCCTGGATTTGAAGGAGGAAAGGGGTCGAGTCGTTCTAGTTTTTTGTTGTTTGGTTTTTTTTTTTGGTTTTTTTTTTTTTAAGTAAACCCCTCTGAACCCTAATGGTGTCTCAGTAACTCACATTGTGAATTCTGTTAAGAAAGTAACAACTATTTTATTATGTTTTTGTAAACCAGCTTTTTTTTAATGGCTGATTTTTATATTTTTAAGGGTGTTCCAAATAACTGAATAGTCACCTTCCTTTTACCTACCCTTGTCCAGGAACAGTGGCTTTGTTACCCTTACTCAGTGTTCCCTCTCTATTGCCTGACCACATGTTAAGTGCTGCTGTCAAATCCACAGTGCAAACAGTTCCCATCCATGGCAGAAAGGCTGCAGCTGATCACTCACTGCCGCTTTTGACAAAAGACTTGCCAAAACCTTTCCAAGCCTTACACTCTTCCTTCTGTGCTGCTTGTAGAGGGGACATCCTTGATGTGCAGTATTATTGCTGTTTCAGTATTTGTTATGCTTGTTCTGAAATGAGGAGTTAACTGAAGTTACCGCCCCATAGCTGTTCCAGAAGTAGGGAAAAGTAGAGCTGTTGCCTGTATTACCTGCCTTGAATGAATTGATCAATGTACATTTAGTTATGAAACATGGGCACAAACTTATGTTTTATTCAAAATGCATACACAGAGCAAAGAGCACAACTTGGTTAGTAGTTTGGGCTTAAGGTCTTTGTACACATAACCAAGATCCATTTTCAAGGTTTCCTGTCACAGGAATACCCAGTGACAACTGAAACAATTTTAGAGAATCAGGAATCATCAGCCCTTGAGCCATCTGATGCAACACAGGCCTACTTGAAACAGATTCCTGCCATTGCAAGAATTTTTAGAGGTCTTTTTCTCATTTCCTCAAATGGTATAAAAGTACCTAAGTATACCACATACAATCAGGTAATGTTTCAGCTGCTTGAATATTTCTCAGAAAAGGCTGGGAGTGAGGACAGACATCCCAGCAGTGACCTCCATCCTAAAAAACCCTTCCAAACAACATGCATGATCTTCCTTCTTAGTGGGCAGCAGGTGCCCAAATAATGCCCCAGCGCAGCTTGTGCACAGATTCAAGACCCATAGTTTGCTTCATCAAAGGCCTTTCTGGCTCGTTTCAGTTCTTCATTCATAGTTAGGAGGTCTTTAACTCTGGCAAACTTCCGGGGGTCCTTGCGTATTAGAAAGACAATGTCCTCAACCTGCACCCGACCCTGCCGCCCGATGGACATGGCCTTGTGTGTCTGTTAGAGGGGAAAAGAAAGTCAGCAGTATTCCTTTGCCATGGTGCTTTCTTAAGGTCTCAATTCCACTTTAGTTCCTGTCATTTTATAATAAAAAAGTAAGCAATTGCAGGTTCTGGGCACCATCATCCTAGTCACAAGAGAACTTCCCAGTAAACCATGGACTTTGCTGTCACTTATGCCCTGAACATAACCACTACATATTCATCACTTAATGGTATCAAAACAAAGGCCAGATTACACATAGGACACCCAGCCTGCAGAATGGCTGAAGATTAGGCATGATTTGGAAGCAGTGTGAGGTAACTGTATCACAGGACAGTGTAGGGCATTTTGATAAGCATAGGAAAGACCAGCATTTCAATAGAAAGGGGAATGTTTGGATACTTAGAAATAGTATCCAAGTCTGGAAGAGAAATGGCCTCAGGCTCAAGAATGCATTCCTTTTGTAGGGCAGACCTAAGTTCCCATCCATGTACAGACACTGGGCAAACACAAAAAGTTGACAGACTTTCAAATCTGCGCCAAATTTTCTGTCAGCTGCACATACACTGATGCCACAGTGAACCCCAAAGTCAGGTGGGTATTTCCCCTCCTACAATACTAATCTAACTGCTACTTAAAGACTTCAGTGTTCTAAATCCACAAGGAGCGAGGTGCATAAATTTTATTTTAATATTGGGAAAACAAAATCCAAGTTTATGTTTCTCCTACTAATGCCATGAGTTTGGGGCCTGGGATAATGCAGTATTTGAGTCAGAGGCATTAACTTTCAAAAAGCTAAAGTTCTGCTGAGGATGTTTTCACCATGCCATCTAGAGCTGACTTACCATTTCAGTGATAAACTCTATTACCAGGTCCTCAAGAATATCCACCGATTCTGTGTAAGGGTTCTGGTCGTCTCCAAATCCATACATCATGCACCTTACTGCACAAAGAAACACTCAGCATGAGGCTTTCATCCATTTAGTGCTGCATGCATGTAGTTAGACCTCACCAGCCTGCACATTCCTGCACCAGGATGGCGCTCTCATCTGTCAGGCAAGACAAATCTTGAGGAAACATATGGGAAATTACAACAAACAGAAGCCAACAAAAGCCCTCCTGTAGGCACAGGAACTGTGCATACAGAAGAGCATGTCTGAGGACAGGCTCTCTGAATATTCATTTAGGCTGCAAAGCACTGCATAGTGACAGCGCAACTAACTTCGGGCACAGCTAGGTCCAGAGCATACGCTAGCAGTATTTTTGAGGGGGGTCTACATGGCAGATTTCTGCAATTGCAGCCAAGGCACATTATGAAAGCCGCTGTTTTGCTAAGGAGAAGTGAGTTTTGGGGCCCCATAGCTGTCAGCTCGGGGTTTCAGCTGGGTAGCCGGCCCGACTTACGCTCTTTGGAGAACAGCCGCTTCCTCCTGCCCTGCCCGCCGTCCAGGCCCCCGCCGGCGTCCTCCGCGTCCTCTTCGAACTACACGGGCACAGCGGCGGGGAGGCCGCGGTCAGCGCCCGTCCGGCCCCGGCCCCTTCCCGCCGCTCCCCCGACCGCGGCTGGGCTGTGGATCCCCGGGAAGGGCAGCCCCTCCACCACTCACCGGCACATCCTCCTCCTCATCCGCCATGGCTGCCCCGCGGCCCGGAACAGCTTCGGCGGCCCGGCCCCGCCCCGCGGCCCCGCCGAGCCGCGCCGGGCGGGACGGGCGGAGCGGGCGGCGCTGCGGGGCCTGCCTGGGCGGGGGGCAGCGCCGTGTGGCTGCGGTGTAGCTATGGTAGCCCTCCCCAAACCTGGATATGACATTCATTGCTGGATTGCCGGATCGCGACAGCGTGGTTTGAAAGTGAGCTCGGGAGGTGTCTGTTAACCCCTCTGCTCGAAAGAGGGTCAGCCACGAGGTCAGAAAGGGTGCCTTTTCACAGTCGGTTTGTAAGGTTGGCAGGGGCTTTTCCTTCCCTTCAGCGAGGCACACTTGCCCATGTTCACAAAATCATAGAATGTAAAAGAGTTGGGATAAAGGCCTTTAATGACCACGTAATCCCAACCCCCTTGCCGTGGACACGGACATCTCCCATGAGACCAGGTTGCCCAAGGTAAGTCCCCTCTTTCAGTTTGTACCCATTCCCCCTTGTCCTAGCACTGGAGTTTCTGGCCTGGCTTCTCTTTAGGCTCCCTTCACGTACTGGAAGGTTGCTATGAGGTTTCCACCTTCTGGATAGCACCAATCTCTCAACTTGTCTTTGTAGGGGAGGTGCTCCAGTCCTGTTTTATTTCGTACAGTTGCTGCCAGCCCCTTTGCTCCAGTCCTGCCCTTGAGCAGGTCCACTGTTCCCCCCAGTTTGGTGCCCTAGGCACGTTTGATAGCAATGCACTTCTTCCAGACTACTCATAAAGATGTTAAACTGGACACATTCCAAAATGCATCTTTGCTGTGTTCCACTTGTAACTGCCGTGCAACAGGTGTGTGACCCACTGGCTTCTATGCTCTGAGCTCAATTGTTTAACCAGTTTTTACTGATCTACTAGCACACCTGTCCAGACTGCAGTGTTCTAATTTTGGACACTTACAAAAATACTGTCTTTGTAGTGTCAGGGTTGTGACGACACACCAGACCAGACACATGACAGAGTAGAGGAAGAAAATGGAGATTGTACTGCTGAAAGACCAGGAAAGACGCACAAAGTGAAATCCTTTTCCAATGAAGCTAATACTCAACATAGTTTCTGTAAACAACAGCTGCAGAATAGGCATAGCTTTACCACACAATGAGAGGAGCCTTAAGTAAAGCTTGCACACCGCTAACAACTAAAGACACTTGAATTTAAAACTGAAATGAGCTCTACTGTATCTGTATGCTGCCAGGCCCACCCCCCACTCATCATGAGGGGGAAAGAAAGGGAGATCTTTTGTGTCCCTGGCCTGAGAAAGTGCAGCTCCTCACTTTGCAATTCAGCTGGTTCCTTAAGAACCTGGCAAAAAAAAAGTCCAGTAGTGTGTCAAGACACCAGCTTTCCCAAAGCCCATTTCCATAAAGGCACTTAAATCCAAGTTTTACTGTTTAGGGAGAGGACTTGATTTTATTTACTGTTTTGTCACAGGGGCATTGTCACACTCAAGAATCAAACTGCAGTATTGGCTCCTGCAAATGGCTGACCAAAATGCAGGAGTTATTCCAGTATCTGAAGCACTTCTGAATAAAACCAAGATGTGTCTGGAGGTAAAACTGGTTCTTCTGGAGAAGATGGTACCTAATGTTCCATGCACACACATCCAGTTTGTTTGTACAAATGGATTAACAGGACATATTTAATGTATTTAAGTGATTAGTAAAAGACTTCCTAGCATTGTAAGAGGTTGTAATGAAATTTAAGGGATTTTGTTCTGAGGAAGGACTTAAACTAGAACTGTACTTTTTTGCAAATTCAGGGTTATTTTCAGAGGCTCTTCAGTCAAGGCTGAGGCCCTGAAAATTACAGCCTTGACAAGATTGATGTTTCTGGAAGATCCTGGTTTAAAGATTCTACAAAAAGGCCCTTCCTGAAGTGTTCACTTTCACCTGTTTCATCTGTATAGCCACTACTCCATTTCTAGGACCACGCATCTCTTGGGCTGGTTTGCCCTGCAGCATTTTAGGATTACAGAATTACAATTACAGAATTGATCACTAAGATGCAGAAGCTAGAGAGTCACATTTACTGCATTCATCACATGCTCCTTTTCCTACATGTATGCTGAAAACAGATCTTGTCCCATGTCTAGTGTGTTACAAGAAATTGCATAGTGAAAGAAATTGGTATTTCTAGTCCTTTTGCACTGTCAGAGTGATTTAGAAAAGCAGTTTCCTTTCTTGAGGTTTAAACACTTGATGCAAGTAACTGACAACTGCATAACCACACTTGGCCACATTAAGACATGGCAAAGATTGAGTGCCAGGGTTTGACACAGGCACTTCATAGCTTCAGACTCAGTTCTCCTGTATGAGTGCTGCTATTGATGGCTGTCCTTTTGTCCAGTTCTGCCTTGTAACTGGACAGTTTGAAGTGCTCTTAGACAGACACAGCTGCTATGGGAAGCAGTTCCCCTAAAGTGTACAGGACACATTGGTGTTGTGCTTCAGCTGCCAGGGTAGAGCTGATACAGATCATGGATGGTGTGCCTCAGATCTGGCATTTTATCCACGTGGAGCTGCAGAAATTCATGCTGGATCTCAAAACAGAAGGTAGATGCAGCACTGACTCATGACAGTGTGCAGGATAGGGCTCCTCTAGATGTCAGTCTTTTATTCCACTCTGTTTCAAGCCAACACTCCTAGAAAAGCAGATCCCGTAAAAGATGTGTTCTTCCTTCATCCTTGTAGAACAGGGACAACTCAATGTCTGCAAGCAAGGAATGCTCTCCTGCTGCACCTACTGAACACAGGACACAGAAGAGTTACAAAAGTAAAACATACAAGACATCAAACACACCTTCAGAGAAAACAGGTTGGCTATTTGCACTCTGCATGGCCTTAGAGCAGGTAGGTTGCACAGGAGGTAGTTTGTGGCCCCTGCTATCCTAACCCTAACCCCAGCTGTGAGAAGTAAATGTCTGTGTATCATACAGTTCAACTGAGCAATACAGTTTGCTTAATGTTAGGGCTGTAGTTTTTCTTTCCTAGATTAAATGCCTCTTTATTAATGATATTACTAGACTGTCACTAGTACCATAAATATAGCAGAGGTTAGGCATGGAGTAGTAGATTTTTGAACACTTCAGTGTAGGGAGAGGAAATGCTGTATTAAAACTTCCCTTCTCTATGGAGGTTACCTACTTTTTTTCTCCTTAGCACAGTCATGTAGGTTTTATGAAACAGTTTTATAATAACCTGGATTAATTCACATTGCAAACTTCCTGAACTGATGAACCTAATAAATAAAAAAAATAGCTTTATAAATACTAATTTATTCAGAAATACCATATAGTAACTTGGGCTATTTGCAACAAAAACCCCAGACCTCTGTTTTTGGTACCTTTTCTTCCTGATGAGCCAAGCAGATCAGCAGGTCTTTTCAGCTGGCCTCTACAGTGGGCAGGTTTCCAGTAACATGGGCTACAAAACACCTGAGCAAGTGAACCCCCGAGAACTCCACAGAACTGTGGAAACAGAGGCATAGATGTTCAGTGCCACATATTGATGTGTCTTGGAGTAATAAAGACAAACAGCCACTGGCTGTGCTCAGTCACACGTCTCAGAGTACACCTTGGGAAAAGCCTGCACTTTGGCTATGTAATCCAACAATTGCAGCTCTTACTGTTACCAGAGCTCCAAATAAAATGGAAAGCCTGCTACCATGCAGCACAGGAATTGCTGCCCTGCTTTGAGAAAGGCCCAAGGAAGAAGCACCCTTGGAAACAAACCTCACTCACTTGCAGAGAAGGGGAAAAGAAGAGAAGGGACATTTCCCAATCAGCAGCCCACCCTCTATCCTTGGGGCACAAAGAGATGCTGCCTCTAGACCACACAGACTTGCCCTACTGAACTCATCACCAGAAACGCAACAACAGCAGTGGAGAGGAACTTTACCTGACCAGGAACAGCTGAGGAAAGCATCCCTGTGTGTTCTCCTTTACAAACTCCTGAATCTCCAGTACATTCTTTAACAATAATCCCCTGGATGCTCGGTCAATTTTTGTTAACACCATCTGCATGGATCCAGAAAGGGAGGATTCAGAGAAGAAAGTAAGATTATTTTGCTGTTAAGCTGGAACATCTGTAAGAGTCCTAGATCGTCTTACAAAGCAGTCTGAAAGCTCTGGTCATTTCTAGGGGAAAAAATAGTCTAACACAGTTCACCAAAACTATGGCTTGCATAAGGAGTGCACCTTTTTCAAGCTGCTCAAGCTGAGCACTGAAAAAAAAATCTATTTAATAAACCACATAAAAACCCCTCTTAAATCCCATTTGTCTCCCTCAACACATTATAAACCTATTTTATTAACAATAAAGGGTTACTGCTTAGGTAGGTCAACTTGCATAAGCTCAGGTGGAGAGTACCTTTCTTGATTACCTGTACCTTATAACCAACCCAAGAATGAAGCATTACCTACCACATAAGGAATCCCAAACTCTTCCAGCATCTCTACTGCAATATGATCTGTTTTCTGGAGTCCAACTACACCATCAACTAATAGGAAAGTCCTCTTCAAGCTGCCAGAAATACAAGCAACAGTAATTGTCACCATTATTTCATGCCTGCTCTGCTGCTTCCAAATTCATAAGCAAAAACAAGTAACATGGGATCTGGGGATAGGAAGAGCCAAGAAAAGTCATGCATGGAAACTAAGGGTCAGCATGGAGCAGCACCTCAATCTTTCTTGCTCTTTTGACCTATCTGAGCATTAATGAGTGACAAGGCAGAAATTATGTCAGAACTAATGGATGGAAGCAGCAACACCTCTGCATTTTCTCCCCTCATTACATGATGCTGTACAGGGGTGTCAGTCTGGCTTTCCCTGTGCTGAGGTACAGGTGGGTCCCTTACTTGTGCCGTTCCTGCAGATAGGCCTCCACCATCTGAACAAAGTCCTGCGGGGCGCGATAGCCATATCCTGGCATATCCACCAGAGTAAAGTACTTCCCTACTTTGAAGAAATTCATCTTCTTGGTGTGGCCCTGAAGAGAGGATTTGAGGAAAGATGAAGCACA